CTAATTTTCTCTCTCCCTGAAACTTACTAATCCAAGTCTGATCCTAGACTCCTCTTTCAGAGTTTCCACTGCACACTGATTTTCTCTATATCCATGTTCTACAGACACTTCAAATCAACACATCCCAAAAGAACTTAGCATATTTCCCCTAAACCTGTTCTTTTTCCTGCTTGCCTTAGAAGAGTACCTCAGCTACTCAAATCAGCATTCTCTGACCCCTTCTTGCCTCCTGCTTCTTCTAAACAACCCAAATCCTGCCAGTCACCAAGACCTAATAATTCTAACTTTCTAATAGCTTTCAGTGGGTCCCCCATCTCCATTCACACTGCTTCAGGAGCCTCCACACTGCCAAATCAGTGTTATTGTACTTGTTCTCCCACCTCTATTCTCTACCGCACTCCTCCACTTCTCCTGTTGCAACTAGAGGCTTCTTCCTAGAATGTAACTCTATCAAGTTAATCCTCTTAAGAAGATGTTACTCTAAGGACAAACTCCAACTGCTTAGCTGGACCTTCCCTATCTGGTCTCGGCTAATTTTTCTAACCCTAGTTCTCAGCTCAGAGTCCCAGTATCCTGCTTTCACGACTTTCACTCTTGTAAGTGAATTCTGCTTTTTAAAATTTTTATTTTCTTTCTTTTCTTTCTCACACATACCTTCCTGAGAAATGCTTTGTCTCAGGAAAGCAGGCTGATGTGTCTCCCATGTTATGGTGAGTCTGGATACTTCTGTTATTCAGAAAGACTATAGGTCAAGTTTTCACAACTCTGTCCATTTTTCTAGTCTGTTAATTAAAGACAATAATATCAATGATACATATATATAGGTGCAAAGCAATTTGTAAATTTTGAATCACCAGTTTCTGTCTAGAGACTTCACTCCTAGATTCTGTAAAGAATCTATAAACTACAGATGATGTAGTAACACTGTAACTACAGTGATAAATAATCTTAAAATACAAATTAGGGAAGTCCCATTTTTGCCAAAAATATGATGAGATTTAAATATATTTGAAACTCATTGGATAGAATATTTTATATACATATATATTTTCCTTTTTAAATTCAATAGAGCTACAACATCTCTTTTGTTGTTTTTATTACCAAATTTCATCATATATATGTATATATATTCTATATATATATAGTATATATATTCTATATACTTTTCCCTGAAATCTATTTCAGGTTGATCAATTTTCCTCTTTAGCTATAGTCTACAAAACAACCCAGTCAGCTGCTCTGCAAATGCAAATCAAAAGAAAAATTATGTGAAAGAATAAAGGTAGACTTATACAGGGTCATCATTACTGGAAATTCAACCCAAGCTTCTTTTTTTAATGATAGGCCAATAAAATGACATATATGAGGCAATAGGCTATTTTTATTAAATTAAAATGAAATCTCAAAGCCTGGTAATACTCATGGTAAAAAAAAAAAAAGAGAGAAATAATTGTATGCTGGGCTTAATCCTTTAACATAGAAAACAAGATATTTAGCTTTAGGTAAAGTAAATTTTATTATTATCAAATACATAAGACACTAAAAAGAACCCCAAATTTGAAGATATCCGTTCTAGATTGTTTTATACAAATCTAGATGTTTTATACAAATTAACATGTCCCTTAATTACAAAAGGAAGCCCAAAGAAAGACAGAATCAGCACATTAATAACATATAATTTTTTTACTTCATCTGCTGCACAATTCTACATAAGACAGAATATTTTATTTTTTGCTGTAGAGGATTATGACCAGGTCCATAATCAACACTAATTAGAATTAAGCATAGTTTGTAGACAGGTAAAAATGATTTTTATCAGTAGAAAATTGTGGTTCTAGCAGTCAGGAATACAGAAATGGAGTGCAAACAATTTGCTGAGTTAAAAATTTAAAACACTGAGGCATGACAATGTTTGGCATTCATTTCACTGACTGCCTCCTTTACCCACTTGCCTTTTAGCTAAGAGTAACATAGGTGATGGAGAGGGGCGGCAGAGTGTGAGGGTGGAGTCACTGTGGCCAGAAAATCAACTCTGAACACTGCAGCCAAGCTGAGCGGGGGCTTTTGAACCAATCAGCACGAGTCCCTCAAGGATGAAAAAGCAAAAACTGTTAATTCTCAAAGTTTAGATGTCCTGGAAGGCTTTAATTCAATCTAGTGTTTGGTCTTCATCTGTTCCTGTTAAACACAGCAACATCCACATATCAGAACTAATTAACAGTTGTTGAGTGTAATCTCTAGGGAATTGCACGGTCTAAGGTGCCATGCTTTGTAGAAAAGAAATGTAATTTATTGCCCATCACAGCTTATATCATAAAAGTCAGACTCACTGGTTGCATTGTGCTTACAAATATTTTGATTGCAATTATTTGAATTCAATAAAACGTAATGAGGTGCTCTTAGCCTCTGGGCAAAACTGACATAGAATTTAATTTGCGCTAGTCAGCTGAAGGCACAAAATGTTCCCGGGGAAAATTCTTCTGTGCCATAAAAACATGGAATTCTTACTGACAGGTCCTTGGAAATTCTGTGCATAAGCTTCCTATACAAGTGAGCGAGAGGGTGTGCTGATAACCACAAACACTACTGGAACTGAAGTAGGATGTTCACTTACTTGACAGAGTAAGCTAAACTGTTTCTCCACCTTAGTTTCCTCCCTAAAGGTCGATATTTTCATTTTGCAACTTCTAGCTATGATCACTGACAAAGAAAGCAAAATAGAGGGGATGTCTTTTAAAGGAAATTTGGTGGAACACAGACGGTTCAAAATTAATTTTAAATTACCTCTTGGTTTTTCATACATGAGCTCCCATAGTCATGAGAACCAGAGGCAGAGGTGACTCTCTCAGTAACTGGGATGGATTTTTTTTTTTCCTCCTTTAGATTCAGGATTATGTGACCTTATAAATTGGTCTCATTACAGAGCTACTGACAGACAGACATATTGGTGGCTGCCAGTAGGCATATGGGCTGAAACTTGAAGGAGGGGTGAACAGATGGAGTGGGGAAACGGAGTGATGGACGGGCCCCTCACACAAGGCCCAGCTGGTAGGAAGCAGGTCATGTCTGTTACTGCTAAACTGAGAAAGATAAGAGTGTCAGCAGTTGGGAAGGTGACTCCATCAATCAGTCTCTTCATTACAGAAAGAATGAGCCTTGTCGTCCGTCCGATGGTGGAAGAAGGGAGCTGGGCCTCCCACGCCCCACAGGTGGTAACTCTGAAGGGGATTGTCTTTCACGTTGCAGGAGGAAGAAGAATGTGCCTTCCCAAGCTACCTTCAGTTGTTGTGGGACCTTCAGAGAAAACTCTGAAGTGACGACTCAATATCTTAAAGTTCATTTTCAAGTGTTTTAATTTTGAGTAAGCTATTACATGAATGTTACACTTGATAATGTAAGAAAGTGACATTACAAAGGGGTTTCAGGTGAACCCCAGGCTCTCTTCTGCCTCAGTGGCCAAGTCCAAAGCAAATGGGGTGGGAAATGGGAGGCTTCGTAAGTGCTTCTGGAATGTGAGCTGTACAGTGATTGGGTCTTGTTCATCTCTAATCCCCAGGTGCCTAAAACTGAGATGTGCAGTACACACTTATTAAATGCATAAAGTTAAAAGAATAGGAAATGTTTCAAAGTGATTTTTAGCATCCAAGCAAAGGTATTTTCTGATTCTTCCTCTGACATTGATTTTACTTTACTTACTTTTCTGCTGTTTGAACCTAGATTTTACAGGTTCAACTCTTAGGTAAGAAGCAGCAGCAAATGGAACATTTGAGACTAGATGGAGAATCCCATGGACAGAGGAGCCTGGCAGGCTATGGTCCATAGGGATGCAAAGAATTGGATAAGACTGAAGCGACTTAGCACGTATGCACACGTGTAGTTAACGCACTCAAGTAGTTAAGAGCTGCACTAATGTTTCACACTTTAGTGAGAGCATGATGAAGTTTTGAGAAAGGAATGTTTCTTTTATTCTGGGGAATATATCCTTATATCATACATGCTGCTGAGAGATTGTTGTGTGTGCTTCAGTTTCCTTAAAGGCAGAATAAAATCTTATTTATAATACTCAGTATAGTGTCTTGAAAATACTGATACTTAGTAAATATTGAACCAGTGAGTTTAAATGATTGCTTTCTAGTCACAGAGTTTTTCAGTAAAGAGCAGTTTCCATGAACAAACTTGGCTCTTTTATATATTTCAGGGTGAAAAATGCCCATATACCAGGACAAGGAATGTGAGCCAAAGATCATTTTATTTAAAGTTTTCTGATATATAGTATTATTTATTTCAAGGGAAATACATTTATTCTCCTAAACAATACCATTACTTACTAAAAATTTGGGCACATGGAAATTGAAATAGATTTGGAAGTTAGAATAGCAAATAATTGAATCCAAAAAAGATGGACTTAATAATTATTTATTAATATAGATCAGTCTATGAAGAAGGTAGATGTTACTAACAGCGTTTGAAAGTTACTGACTTGATGAAATAGGCTAAATAGCCGAGATTCTATTTTATATTCTTTTTTATCATCCAATTGGAGATTAATAATATATGTCACTACAGTATAAGAAAATTACATATCTTTTGAGATTTCTGAGCAAATTCACTTTTTAAAATGTATATGCCTTTTAAAATCTCAAGGTCTCTGTAAAGAAGTATTATTACATACTAAATGTTTTCTACTTACTTAATTTGTACATCTTAAAAGACAACTGTTTATAAAATTAGAACAGATTTTGAATAAATAATTAGAAATGAGTGTGTTAAATATGAAAATGTTCTTCTGTTTAAAGTGTTCAGCAGCTGACCCTTGTGTGATAAGATTCACTTCAGGGATCCTACTGGACTCTGAGGAAGGACACAGTGCTGACCTCAATAACTGGATTAGATAGTAGTTTCCTAATTGATAATGAAGGGTTTGAACTAACAAATGAGTCTTGTTTGGAGGGAGCCTTGCTGTGGAACATGTTAGGGGAGGAGACGAAGTAAGTGAGTGCTTGGGCTCTAGACTGAGAAGGACTTGACTCTGAACCCAGTCCTGAAGCCTTAGGTGAGTTAATTAGCTTATAATTCTGTGTGAGAGTTTGTGTTGACATGAAAACAGATAATGCATGTGAAGCACCTACCGCAGTGTCTGGAACAGGGTTAGCACTCAAGGATAGTAATGGTTTTATTTCTGCTATCACTGCTAGCTTGGCTAACATTGCAGTTTTGTTCCTAAATACCTTAAGGACATTTCGAGTTTTTTATTCTAATTCTCCAAAAGCTGCCTTTAAAGGAAATCCAGGAATTCAGTCTTTCTTCCTCTCTTGCTTTTTGCTACATTTCCCCTCTCTCTTTCCTTCTTTTTTTTACCTCCTTCCTTCCTTCCTTTCCCCTTTCTTTTCTTTTCCCTGTTTATGTAGTCAACAGATTTTTAGTTACTACATGAGAATCCAAAACCTTATGCAGGTAGGACATTTAAGAATAAATTTTCCATGTCTGTAAACAGGACGATTTGTACTATCTGGATTACCCTGTAAGGGGAAAAATACTTTCTAATTATGAGAGAAAATGCTCAATATTCTGATAGTTCTGTCTCCTGTAAATATAGATGAGACTTTGAATTCCTGAGTGTGTTTTTCATTCAGTAACATTGATCATAGTATTAAAACAGCACGATAGATTAAAAGTATGCCCTCTTCCAGGTTTCCTAGTGATCTGCAGGACCTTCACTTTCTTGACTATCCTAAAATATAAATATACAATCCTTTTCTCTGAATGCATTTGATTCTCCCAGTGCGTGAGATATTCATGTGCCAGCATTCTTTAAAATAAGCTTGCTGCCATTTATCTTGAGAATGTGAGCCAATTCTCTAATGAGGAATCTCTCCCCACTCCCAATTTGTTCACATCCACTTTGATTTCCATTGATCCTAAAATAATATGGAAGTAAAAATTAAAGTATTTCTATACGTGTATGCTGTATTGGTGATTTGAAACTTCAGGTACTGAGAACTGACTGTGAAGGAGAGAGCCGGCCGCAATCTGGATTATTTTTCAAATGCTTTGGGTTTGGCAAAAACTAAAATGCTTGTTGCCAAGCTCCTTTCCTCTTAATTTTTTAAAAATCATGTGTGTTTCAAGGGAAATTTAATCCACATGTTTCTGATTCATTTGCACTTAAGTTGTCAAACTGTTTTGTAATCATAAGTCTCTATCTTTCTCCACAGAAAATTGAGTTTTTCCAAGTGTGCATAAACAATCACCCCTCAGAAGAATGAACTGAATTTTAAATTCAGAAATCAAGGATGGGCAAAACTGTGTGTACCTCACCTGCTCTTGGGAGAGGAAAAGATTTTTGAAGTTTTGACTCTGTATCAAATCTTTTGATGTAGACTTTGACTTACCCTTGGAAATATGAGATTCTTTCCTCCAAGAAAAAGTGTTTTTAGAGTTTAAAATATACTGTAGAAGGTGCTAAATGACCAACGATGCAGGATGATTCTAATTCTTTAAAATTACAAGTAAACATGACTGTGAATAATATTAGTGTTATATATCATAACAAAAGACTTATTTTAAACTTCATAATCTACACAATTGGATTTATTTACAACTATAAACTCATCGTCTCTTAGATGTGAGCTTAACAAAGCAAAAAGCTCAAACTTTCTCCTCCCAAAATACTTTATCTAAAATTAGTTTAAGTTACTAATAGGAAAATTTACAAGGGGAAAATAAACATAATATTTTTAAAAGCTCATTCCATCTCTGAAAATAGCTTAGAATTTGCTGTATTTACATATTTTTCTTATAAAACCGTCTGTAGTGAGACTTGAAATGCTGAAGCTTACTATAATAGAATGTCCCATTTGGGAACATTAAGAACTTTTATTTTATGGGAACTCACAATGGTTACTCCCATTTGGGTCTCTTAGGAAGTGCTAATTCCCAACACTTCCTCCTTTATCATGAGATCAAACCATTTGAACCACTTATTATCATGTACCCAGTAAAACTCAATCTGTTGTGTTAATTAGTTATGTAAACACATTTTATAATTGTGGAGACAAAGCAGAGCTAGGCAACTGGGTAGGTGAGAAAAGATCAAAGATCTCCCTTAATAAATTGTTACGCTAATTAGTGTTTGTCTTGTAGTGCTTCTCCAGGGGGTCCTTTAAACCCAAGCTTGGGAAAACCTGCTTAGAGAACAAGGAAGCTTTGGCAAAAACAAATCTTGCCAAACTCCCGAAACCAACTTAAAACCAGTGAAGTGAGAGAAAAAGGAGTACAAAAGAAACAGGTGAAAAGACCTGTGAATTCCTCCTGAGGAGATCCTGCTCTTAAGACTGTAATATGGAAAGAAGTATCAGATCACACACAGTCTATTTTTATGATTTAAAAAAACCAGCTTTGCCTAGCGCTGTCTCCTTCCAAGTAAGATTGTGTATATAGCTTGCTGTGAAAATAATCAAGGTACTGTACCGCCTATACCTCTCAAAAAGTGCCCTTAAGAGGTACCTCCATTTTAGTAAGATAAAGGCCTCCAGGAGGTGCTCATTCCCCACATCAACATTACATAGGCTTCTTTCCTGCCTTATTCTCCTTCATGGAATTGACCATCATCCACCATGCTGCATAATTTACTCTTCAATATTCTTTCAATTAGAAAGGCTGTGAGGGCAGGGAGTTTTGCCCTTTGGTTTTCCACTGGTTTGCCCAATGATTGACTGAATAGAAGAATAAATACATATCAGTGATACACATTAGTGTTCAAAACATTTCAGAATGGTATAATATGGAGTTGTTCACCCAGCTTTTAAACATGGCATAATGTACAATTGTTCTACCACTCTGTTGCTGTCCTTTGGTCACTCAGTCGTGTCCAGGTCTTTTCCACCCCATGGACTGCAGCACGCCAGGCTTCCCTGTCAATCACCAACTCCCGGAGCTTGTTTCAGCTCACATCCATTCAGTCAGTGATGCCATCCAACCATCTCATCCTCTGTCATCCCCTCCTCCCCCTGCCTTCAATCTTTCCCAGCATCAGGGTCTTTTCTAATGAGTCTACTCTTCGTATCAGGTGGCCAAAGCATTGGAGCTTCAGGTTCAGCATCAGTCCTTCCAATGAATATTCAGGACTGATTTCCTTTATTCCTTCAACACGAGTCCCCCAAATAACCATACCTCACTATCTAAAAATAATAGCCCTAATAGTAACAGGATAGTAACAGTAACAGGATTGACTGGTTTGATTTCCTTGCAATCTAAGGGACTCTCAAGAGTCTTCTACTACTTACTTGATATGAACTGGCCTTGAGCAATTCACTAAATCTTTCTGAATTCTGTTTCCTCACGTCTATATGTGGTTATTATTACCTTTCTTTCAGAATTGTGTCAAGATCGGGGATAATTTATATAAATTGCCTAGCAGTGTCTAGCACTTCGCAGATGCTCAGTAAAATGTGGTTATTGTTTTGGTGTTATTGTCATTAACCTTTTTTTCACTTTGTCTTTATGCAAGCCAGCTAATATTAAGACTCTTGTGTTTAGTATCACTTCTCTTTGCTTTTTATATTTCGCTTCTCTTCTTTTTTATGTCTTTTTCATATTTTCTTAATTCTATAGTATGTTCTTGATGATAGTTACTTCAAATGTTTAAAGAGCAGCAATAAACTAAAACCTGATAAGAATTTGTCAGAACTATTCTTTAACTTTCTCTGAAAATTTCCACATATTCATAAATGACTACCGATATTCCCAATTTACAAATATAGAATAGGTAAGGTGGGTATTTTCTATTTCCAAGTGTTGATATTTCCAAAGCCAGGGACAGTTACTTACTACTCATTTTGCCTAAAGTTTTCTTTTCTTTTCTTTTTTCTTTTTGCCTAAAGTTTTCAAATAAGATTTTGTTCAGTTCCCTGAAGTCTTGGTGGAGATAGGCTAATCCAGATTTGTATCTAGGATTTGCCTCAGCTTCAGCCATATCTTTTAACTTTTATTTTATATCGTCTCTTTTAACTCTAAATTACAGTCCTGTCTTGAAACTGCCTTCATGAAGGCTGGCAGTGCAGAAGAAAGGAGGAAGATAAAATGGCCCAAGAAATTCTCTTCTAGAATGTTCTGTATCTGGTCATATTTTCTGGCATCCTTGCTATTTCACAAGTTCCCAGTTGTTATGTAATAGTCAACTATAAAGTGCTTTTTTTAAACCTAGTATTAAAGTAATATGTTAAAAAAAAATAATATGTGGTTGCTGTAACAAATTTAGAAAATATGACCAAGCAAAAAAAAAAAGAGTAAAAATAATCTGTAATCTCACTAGATACATATACAATCTCACTAGATACATATCTAACATGTAATAGATACTTATTATCACAAAAATATATTATCATACATAGAAAATATTTTGAAATTTTTTAAATTTATAATTCAGCATATTTTCTGTCATTAAACACAAAAGTATAACTTCAATGACATCATAAGGATATATCACTTTCTATTAAAACAATCTTTTGTCTGCAGCTGTGATGGAAAATATATGTTAGAGCAAAAATTGAAAATATGGATTTTTAAGGTAAATAAGGAGGTAAGATTGATAGTCTTCGTGTTTTTTTCCTGCAAAATAATTCACTTTATTCTTATTTTCCCCCCTTTTCTCAGATAAAAAATGTATATAAGAGCACATACATTGAGATGGGTCTATATAAACTATAGATCCACTTCAGTAACTTGAAATTACAATAAAAAGTCTTCTCTGTCTTTTGAGCATTTTCTTCCTTGATACCCAGCATATGACAACTCAAACAATAGCTCTCAATAAATATTACTTGGAGAGCTGAAACAAATAAGCTAACTCACATATAAATACTGTCTTTTAAGATCTATGATCACACTTTTACCAGCTTGTTTATTTTGCCACTATGGGAATAAATGAGCTGACATTGAACACTTTAGTCTCCATCTCTTCAAGTGACACTGTTATCTAGGCTCAAAGCTGCCAGGTCAGTGTACTCCAAAACTTGGATCTGAATGACCTGGAGTGCTGGTTATAAATGCAGATTCCTAGGCCCTACCCTAGACCTATTGATACAGAATACATAATGTGGAGCCTGGGAAAATTTGAGGACCGTTTTGGGGTGGTGTCAGCAAGCAGTGAAATATGTTTATCGGTAGAATAAGTATAGAACATGTTGAGCCTCCCAGCCTGTGTAGAATGAATAGATCTTTGGGAAAGACAGAACTGGGGGGAAATTTTTTTTTTTTTTTTAAATAATGGCATTACCTATATGTTTAGAGGATGATGAGATCTAGTGAGGGTAAGAGAAAGCACGTTTGAAGATCAACTTTATTTTGTGTGGAAATAATTTCACTGGACAATTTTAATTATGGGAAGAAAAATAACAATGCAAACCATCTAGGTGTATAAAAGTTTCTCTTTGCTGCTTGTTCTTGCTGTGTCTGTGGCATCTTTTGAGACTCCAGTGAAAACTATTAAGAAAAATACCCATTCACTGGTCATAAACATCAATATAAAGAATCTAATGTATTAAGCATGTTTTCATCTAGGCTTTTTGTTCACAATAAGGCTTTTTAGAAGTACTTAAGTTTGCTTCAGTATTCAACTTGCAAATGCATTCACTGCATCACTCTATCTAAGCAACCTCTTAGAACCAAAAATGAACCTTAAAAAAAATTTCTTTTGTAGGAAGATGTGAAAATTAATATGGCATGTAGGTGCTGTTGGTTCCAATTAAAATCAATATCTGTCCTGATTTATGCCTCTTGTCTCTATGACAGCAAGGGGGCTGGCTAAGGGGATGCATCTGCTCCTCTCTCCCAAAGGGGCTCAAAACAAGTGAATGACCTGCAGTGTTTATTATTAAGTTTTCAAAGGGAAAGTTGTTTTGGTCTAATTGAAGCAATAATATGAGAGAGGTTATTTCTGGTCAGTTCCCTGCTGTTTTCACTCTGGAGAATATATTCCAGGTGTTTGCTGCGCTGCACTGCCGTGTAAGCACCACGTTCCCTGGAGTTTAGACATGCTAGTGCCCATGGAGCAATAAACCAGCATTGGGAATTGCAGCCAGTTTTGGCATTTTCGAGACACTTTTTTTTAAGTTAACATCGTAGTAAACCAGATGGTTAATGACCACATTCATTTTCAAAAGTTCCAGTGACTGTGGAATAATGCAATGAGACTTTATAAATCCCTAATACATTAAAGAACAATTTATTCTCTTTCCTTTTCCTCTTAGGCTTTGCCACACCATAAAGAGTAGCTGTAATGCCATGTCACTATACTTTACTTTGACATGTCTTTTTCTTTCTCTTCCTCCACACTGATTAATGATTTTCTTTAAGTAGATGAGAAAAGAAAAATTAAAATCTAATTAGTCAAAATATGAGCCATCGTTTATTCATAACTTGTCCTTCTCTGGTTTTGCAAAAGATATTCTAGCTCCATGGTCTTCAAATATCTCTAAATGTCATATATTTATCAAGGATGATTGGTTAAGGGTATAGACTCTGCATATGGATTTACAATATAAATGCAAATATTCAGTATGTGATATTTGGCTGAGATACATATAAGTGACCATTTCTGATACAGGATGAATGTCACAAGTAATAGTTTGGGAATTTCAGAGGTGACGTTCCACACATCAGCTAGCAAATTGATGTTATAAACTTGTCTATTGCTCTAAGGTATTTTTCCTGGTAAAATCACAAAATTGAAAACACCATATTAGTTAGTGGAAGTTAATCTTAACTTTAAGAATTTTATGCAATATTCATTTAAGATACTTTAATCTTGATTAGATTCCCAGGTAACCCGTATTGGTAATCATAAAAACAAAAGACAATTCTAAAGTTGAAATTCAATGTCTTCCTGGTTCCAACTGGAATTTTGGACCTTGGTTTTGTTCATTTTCATCTGTGAACCTAATATGAACCCACAGACCAAAATAGTCACATTAAGAATAGGGGCTGGATTTCAGGCTAATCAGGGGAAATGCCTGGGGAGGGTGGTGGTGGTGTTGTCTGCTGCTCACCCGCTTAATCACGCAGACTTTCTGAGTCCAGGATACTTCCAGAGCCTGAGTGGTAGCGATTTCTCAGTTCACATTCCCAGATGTTTGAGTCAAAGGGTCTAGCACCGAATGTCCTCAGAGGCGGGCCTCTGGGAGGGGGGCTGCTCTCCCGAAAGAGAGAAATGCGTGGCACTCGGTGTCAAGGGCATCGTATTTATTAAGCACTTTGGGTTCTTTGGATGGTATTCAAAGTGCTGTGAAGTATTATTACTTACGTATTTTCACTAGATCCAAGGAGAGGGCAGGAACCTCGCTCTGTGGCTCTGTATCAGGCAAAGGAAGCTGACCCGCACATTCCTCTCCTTATTCTTTCCCTGCCCCTCGGAATACCACACACATAGCAACGGTCAATTACAGGGGAGCAGGTGAGGTGTGCAAATTAACACAGGAGCAGAGTGGTGAAAGTCGTGGGGGTGGGCGCCGGGAGGGGGCGGGGAAGAGGAGGAGAGCGAGGGGCTGCCTGGTGGGAAAGGCAACTTGCAGTGCCGCTTAATAATCATGACTGCTAATAAAAGAAGATTCGCATTCTTGAATAGGAAACAACAGATAAACCAAAAAAACACAAAACATCATATCTATATGATCGTTCTGAGTGTTTTCAAAAGGTTTGTGATGTTTTTGTCTCCATTAGAGGAGATGCATACCACCCCCATCCCCCCCGCCCAAAAGCAAGTTCCTATGGAATATGTCACTATGAAAGAAATGTCATAACTCAAATGATCGAAAAGAACTCAGATAATTTACAACGACTTTATTCTCTTTCAGGGGTCATCGTTAGAGAGGGTATTTAGATTATCTGCCCTATTAAAGGCTATATTCATGTTGCAGAACTAATTGTTTGCTAGAATTTAATAGTCTTAAAATTTCACAGATGCGGGTGAGATAAGAAGGGAGATTCCTGTTACTCTCCAGCCCTTTGTAAAACCTCACAGCAGGTGATGCTAGAAACCATAGTTATCACTGCCAATTTAATAGACATTGGTATCTAGACTTTATAATGTAGAATTCATTGTACTTTCAAAATTAGCATCTTCTCTGATCATTTCAATAAGATAAATAGGCAAGCCATAAAGATTAGCTCCTGAGTGCTTATTGTTCAATGATTCACACTGGTGTACCTCAAGAAAACCATTCCTAAGATGAAAAGTTGGAGGTACATCTGAAAGGTTCTTTGTTTGCATGAGAGAGCCACATTTTATCAATTGGAGAAGGATAAAATGTGCACTGTGCCAACACTGCTGATTATAAGCTATTTTTTTTTTTTTACTACTAGTTCTTTAGGATCACGCAACAACCTAGTAGTAATGAGCTTCAATTATCACTTTACTGGAGACATATCAAAGAGATTTACAGTTGATAGACTGTGAGAGAAAAGGTCATTTACACCATTGCTCCTCAAAACACAGAGTTCATTTTGAAGTTTGTGTCTCCTTACAACCTTTCTTTAAGACATTGCAAATTATGTTTTATTGTTGTTGTTCAAATAAGGAAACTGAGTCACAAACAAATTTACTTACTATTAAATAAAAAGCTTTGATTTCCTGTATTTACAACTACTATTTAATAATGACATTTTTAAGAAGCTGCCATTGTCCATTGCTGGCATCATAATTTTCTGGGAAAAAAAAGTGACCCACTTGCAGCAGGGCTGGGCTGTACACATAGACTAGTTTAGTAATCACAAGCTGGGTTTATGGCTTCACCATCTTAATATTTTATAGTAGCTATTTTTCTGAGGCTGGTGGGTGTGTGAATGTCTGGCACACCTTGATTGTTGTAGATAACTCTGGAGCAGAGGGTGTGGGTGTGAGGTGGGGTCAGTTTAGCACTGCGGAAACTGTTTTTGTATATAGAGAATATAAGTATCATTTTTGCAGCAGCTGTTTGTTTTAGTACCAAATATTCACATGTTTACTTTACAGTTTACAAAGGATGTTGCATATCTTAGAATTTAAAGACCCTGGATATTTATATTTATAGATATTGGAGCTGAAATCCATAAAGCCAATTGTCTTCTCTAAGGCTGCCTGGAGACCAAGGACTAAAATCCTGGAATCCTGATGACTTCACTCCCCATTCCATACTGTGTTAATAGATATTTCTTATTTGATCCTCCTAACAACCATGTGATACAGGAATTGCTATCTATTCTTGTTTTATAAACAGGAAATATGGCTCCAAGGAGTTGCATGCCACTCCATCCAGAATTTCAAAGCTTATTAAAGACAAAATTTGATTTGGTACCCAGGCCTTGCTCAAATTGTTAGAGTTATGTAAAATGCTCCCAGTTGCATTTCTAATGAGAAACTTTTGGACTATTTCTGTTTATCTGTGTGTTATCTGTTAAGGGTCCCTTGGAATGAGCATCAGCTAAATCTTTTAAAGACCTATGAAACCAAAGTGGTTTCTGTTAGGTTATAACTCCCAGTGGACTGAAGATTTCATTATGTTGTTAATTCTGCATAACAGTTATTAACAGATGAACTAAGTTATTTTGCTTATGATTTTTTGTCTGAGATCTTAGATTTGAAGCTATCATTCTAAAGCAAAGCCATGTAAAATATTCTTCTTTTGCTTTTAAGGTTTTCTTTTGCCACATTGTTCTTGTGCCTCAAATATTCTAAATTGTTTACATTTTTTGACCGTGCGAGAATCCTTGCCACTCCCAATGAAGAACTTTAAGACATTCTGATTGCCTGTTTACCTCACTGGTTGTGCTTCATTTGTTCATCCTGTAAGTATTTACTGGGCTTTCCAGGTGGTGCTAGTGGTAAAGAACCCGCCTGCCAACGCAGGAGACCTAAGAGACACAGGTTCGATCCCTGGATTGGCAGGATACCCTGGATAAGGGCATGGCAACCCACTCCAGCGTTCTTGCCTGGAGAATCCCATGGACAGAAAAGCTCGGCAGGCTCCAGGCCATAGGGTCGCACAAATCAAACACGACTGAAGTGATGGCACACACGCACATGCCTATTTACTAAGCACTTTGTGACAGGCACTGTTCCAAGAGCTGGAAAAAGAATATTGAAAAAAACAACCCTGCCCTCAAATTATCTTATGGTTGGGGTATCCATTCTATGTACAAATGAATGTATAACATGTCAGGTGTGAACATTGTGAAGGGTAAAAATGATGCTGTGCAAGGGGGTGGGGAGTGCTGAACCCAGAGAGGAATAGTCTTATACAGTTGTCAGAAGTAGCTTCAATGATGAGAGCACATTTCAGCAGATAATTTGAAGGAACGAGTTATGTAGAGATCTGAGGGAACAGTAAATTGAAGAAACTAAGATAAGCCTGCACTTGGCATGGTCAAGAGAGAATGTAGAAAAAGGCAGAGGGAATCAGGACACACAAACCCCTTGTGGGCCAATTTAAAAGAGTTGCACAAGTGAAGTGCAGAGCCATTTAAGGGGCTAGAACAGAGAAAAATTTTAAAAAATAAAGTTTTGTGTTTCTAAAGATCTATTTTGGCTGCTTTGTGAGAATAAACTGGAAAATGCAAGAATAGAAAAAGCAGGGAGACCAGCTAGAAGGCTACTGAAAAAATCTGTATCATAAATGATGAGTTAGATCAGGAAAGCTCATCAAATTCTGGACATATTTTGACAGTAATGTTGATTTATTCAAAGATGGGATGTAAAATATCAGAGAAAGAAAGCAATTAAGAGTGCTGAAAAACTAGAGGGATGGCATTGTCCTTTACTAGAAGAAACTGATAAACACTTTCATGGGGGAGAATGAGAAATGTGTCTATTGACATCTTATATTTAAGGTGTCTACACATAAACAGAGATCTTGAAAGGCAGTCAGGCTATGAGTCTCAAGATTAGGGGGAGAGTTTTTGAGTGGAAATGATGATTTGGGGCTATTCAGACTGATCTTTTACTAAGTATGGGTTTACTAGCCAAGGGAGTGAGGCTAAATACAGAAGTTAGAGGATTAAGGCTGTTTATTAAAGTATGAGGGAGATAAGGAGGAGTGAGTGAGAGTAAGAATGACCAGTGAGGAGGGAAGAGAGTGTGATCTCAGAAGTCAAATGAAGAAAGAATTTTTAGAAACAAGTACTTAACTGGATTTGCCTTTTCATTTTCTTTTTAATCAAACAGGATGCCAAGGGATTGGTTCAAAATGGATATCAAAATTATATTAAGTATAATTACAATTTTTAAAAATTTGCCTACTAGGAATCAAACTTCTCCAAACCAGTTTCCAACAGTACGTGATCCATGAACTTCCAGATGTTCAAGCTGGATTTAGAAAAGGCAGAGGAAACAGAGATCAAATTGCCAACATCTGCTGGATCATTGAAAAAGCAAGAGAGTTCCAGAAAAAATCTACTTCTGCTTTATTGACTATGCCAAAGCCTTTGACTGTGTGGATCACAACAAACTCTGGAAAATTCTGAAAGCGATGGGAATACCAGATCACCTGACCCACCTCCTGAGAAACCTATATGCAGGTCAGGAAGCCACAGTTAGAACTGGACATGGAACAACAGACTGGTTCCAAATTGGAAAAGGAGTACATCAAGGTTGTGTGTTGTCACCCTGCTTATTTAACTTATATGCAGAGTACATCATGCAAAATGCCAGGCTGGTTGAAGCACAAGCTGGAATCAAGATTGCTAGGAGAAATATCAATAACTTTGGATATGCAGATGACACCACCCTTATGACAGAAAGTGAAGAAGAACTAAAGAGCCTCTTGATGAAAGTGAGAGAAGAGTGAAAGAGTTGCCTTAAAACTCAACATTCAGAAAGCTAAGGTCATGGCATCTGGCACCATCACTTCATGGCAAATAGATGGGGAAATAATGGAAACAGAGACTTGATTTTTATGGGTTCCAAAATCACTGCAGATGGTGACTGCAGACATGAAATTAAAAAAATCCTTGCTCCTTGGAAGAAAAGCTTTGACCAACCTAGATAGCATATTAAAAAGCAGAGACATTACTTTGCCAAAAGTCCATCTAATCAAAGCTGTGGTTTTTCCAGTAGTCATGTATGAATGTGAGAGTTTCTATAAAGAAAGTTGAGCACCAAAGAATTGATGCTTTTAAACTGTGGTGTTGGAGAAGACTCTTGAGAGTTCCTTGAACTGCAAGGAGATCCAACCAGTCCATCCTACAGGAAATTAGTCCTGAATATTCATTGGAAGGACTGATGCTGAAACTGAAACTCCAATACTTTGGCCACCTGATGCAAAGAACTGACTCATTTGAAAAGACCCTGATGCTGAGAAAGATTGAAGGCAGGAGAAGGGGACGACAGAGGATGAGATGATTGGATGGCATCACCAACTTGATGGATGTGAGTTTGAGTCAGCTCCGGGAGTTGGTGATGGACAGGGAGGCCTGGCATGCTGCAGTCCATGGGGTTGCAAACAGCTGGACACGACTGAGTGACTGATCTGTACTGAGGAAATATAAATGGGAGATTTACTTTTAGTTCTCTTTTCTCAGAATTTTTGTACATATTGAATTCTTCTCCACATAATGGTTGAGTCTGACAAGATTTGCATTCTCATAAAGAAGGCAGTATGAAATAAATCAGCAATTGTGAGGACTATGTTTTCTAGAAAGGCAATGTGGTGTAGTGGAAGGAAAGGGCAGCCTGTGCGTGAACCCAGTTTCCACTGAGAACTTAGCGAAGTTGCTTCACTTCTTTAAGGTTCGCCTCCATTCTCTTTACAATTGAGGATATTCATACCTATCTCCCAGGATTACCATTTCTGATTAAATTTTAAAATATAGTTAGTTCAATTCTCTTGGGAGTTCCCTGGCAGTCCAATGGTTAGGACCTGTGACCATGCATTTTCCCTGTCATGGCCCGGTTTTAATCCCTGGGGGAGGATCTAAGATTCTGCAAGCCTCGCAGCAGGGCCCACTTCCCCACCCCCAAAAAAGTAAATTGCCTGATACTCTGTGAACACTTAACATCAATCTCTAAATCATTAAATATCTTTCAAATAGATACTTTAAAAGCATTGTGCTGCATATTAGCATTTTTCCAGGGAAATAGTCAAATAATTCTTGACTGGGAGCTATATGAATAGTGACGTGGGTGTGTGTGTATGTGTGTGTGTGTGTGCGCACGCGTGCTCAGTTGTGTCTAACTCTTTGCAGCCCCATGGAAAACTGATAGATTTGGTACTTTAAAAAATTTAAGCTGCTGTTTACTTTCTCCTAGTTTCTACTCTGGGATAAACAAATAAGCAGAATATCTTTTCTTACATTTCTCTCCCTGAGCCATTCTGGCATAACGTATCAACCTGAGAAGGGTAACTTTGTTAACTTTTTCTCAAGATTTTGCTCAACCCAGCTGGAACATATGAATAAGAAAGACCTCCCAGAAAGAACTGTTGTCTCCAAGTTGAGAAGAACTCTCTGGAGAGAATGTATTTTGCAAACATAAATAAAATGATTTTGTCACCATTTTTACAGGGCTCTGCTTGTGTATCCTCTAATCACTCTTTTGTGCAGACCTCAGTGAATGGGGGACCTGAGTGATCTATCTCATCTCAATCTTACAAAGCAATTGCAATTTGAATTCAGATGATGGATCTATAATCTATTATAGAATGAAAGAAAATTCATCTTCAGAAGAAATCTGAATGAAGAGAAGATTCTAATTAGATGTTATTTGCTTTTAATGGTGATTTTTTATCCCTGGGGTGAATAAGTTCCATTGTCACCGAGACACTCTATTATTCAATTGGTGTCTCTGCCCTCTCCTGGCCCCACAGCACAGTCCAGCAGGGACTAGACTTGGATCTCTTCAGAGCTCATTAATTTGGAACCTCTGCTGACTAGAGACAGAGCTTTGGTTAAACTTAAAATGCTCTTTTCCATGTCCTAAGAGTTGGCCTTGCTCAGAGTGTTTTAACTAAAGAAATCAAAGATAATGAAACCAAAAAAAAACCTAAAGTGGACTTTAAGCATGGAATAGAGAATGTTCCCTTTTTAATCTAGGTTACATGAGAAATAAAGAGGGAAAGTGAAACTTTCATGGAAAAAAAAAGCAATGGATTACTCTAATGACTTTTAGTAGCTTAATTTGGGGTCTACACACTTTGCCTGCCATGTATTCAAAAATTAGAATGGACTGCTACACTCGGAATAGGAGACTTTGACTGAATGCACTATTACCAAAGCATAGTTTTAAAACTATAATTAATGTGTTATGATAAAACACAGATTGAGGATTAATCCAAAAGAGGTATTTCATTAAGGAACAAGGAGGTAACTCATTAGAGAACAAAGTATTAATATTTTTCTCCATTACAAAGTAAGAGATCTGTGCCTTTCCTTAAAAGCTAAATAAAATTAGAATATACATTTTGCATTCATACCAGACAGATGGTTATTTAATTTAAAATGTGAGTCCTTGCCACCTGCAAAACTCTGTACTAGACACTGGGGATTATAACAATGAAAAAAATAATCTCTTCATAAAAAAGCTCAGTTTCTATTTGGCTTGGTCAAAGCCTCAAATGAACTAAAAAAAGAGAGACAAAGTAAATGGGAGGCAGAATTAAGTGGACAAATAAAAGTACACAGAAGAAAAAGAAGTTATTGTTGATTGGCGATCATGGAAGGCTGTTGCTATTTAAGTTGCATATTTTTGGTTAATGCAACAGTTGAATTAAGCAAAATTGTGAAGTTGTGAAATTTGTTCAGGAAATGGAGAATGGAGTTAGGGAGCCAGAGCATAGACTGAAATAAGAAAAGAGG